TTAGTATATAATCTCCACTTGGTTTTGGGCATCTATATTTTAAAGAAGAATCCTGCTTCTGTACTGGCAGCCTCTTATGATGAAAATCCATTGCAATCACTTTGTGGATCTTGATATAAAAATAATTAAGAAGATAAGCTTACTTGAAAATTTTCTTTCTTTGACTTGTAAGATCCGTGTCTGTGACACTACAAATGCTTGTGAGGGGAATGCGAGGATTTAGGTTTGTTATTATTAGGTAGAATTAGTGCTGTAGTAGCAGCAATTGGTGTGTTTTTTCTGGAAACTTAGTTAAGTCAATCTGTAATGTAGGAAGGAAGATTTAAAAGATACTGGGGACTGTTTCAATTGGAGGAAACTTCAGTGAGTCACTTTTGCTGCCAGTGACTGTTTGGCCTGATTCTACACCATTCTGCAAAGTGGCTGAAGCATCACCATATTGCATCTGTGGCCTCTGGTATTCAAACAGCAGATATTTTCAGATAAGTGCAGATAAATTTCTTACTCACTGAGAGAAGTAATGCAAATCAAACTGTCAGTTTTGATTTATTATGTTCCTAGAGGATAGTGTGCATGGGTGCTTTTCCTATGAGGCCGTCTATGCTGCAGAGAGATTTAATTTTCAGCAGGGAAGTTATTATGCAGCTTATTTGATTGCAAATTTGTTTAAACAGCTTTCAGCTTTGTATTTCCCAGTTAGGTAATGTAGCTTTAGATACTAATTGCATAATTGGCTTGATATGAGTCACACAGATTTAAGGTACAGTGCGCCTGGTCTGACTGCTTGTTAGCTTTAAGTGGCTTTATATACTAGCTGCCCTACAACTGAATTTAACTCTTTCATTTATTGAGTTCTCTCCTGAATAATTTTTGTCTGAGGAAGAAGGATTTTCTTGGTACTCAAGGAATGGCCGTCTTCATTCATGAAGTTTTGATGCTGGAGTATGCATGTTTTGTGGATTGGTGTAAGTTCTAACCTGGTACACAAATGTGATGAAATAAAGAGATTTTTAAAACTCAAAAATGAGCGCATGGCACAGAGAGCATCTTCTCTACCTGTTCCTTGTGGTTTCATTTTCCTTTAGATGATGGTGGGAGGGACCATTTTCCAGTCACAATCTGTTTTGAAAACAGTGAGCTTCACACCTAAGATTCCTTCTTTCATCCCTCCATTTCACAGGCCTGAAAGATGCTACAGGCTCTGAGAGTGATGGTGGTGACTCTTGCAGCACAAAATCGGAAGGAGCCAATGGAGGCACGACAATCCAACCCAAAAAGGTCAAGGGTGTTGGCTTTGGAGATATCTTCAAAGACAAACCTATAAAGCTACGACCAAGGTCAATAGAAGTTGAAAATGACTTTCTCCCAGTAGATAAGGTACGTGTAATTTCTTAAATCTCTCTTGGTGTTGGTTTACAGAAGTTTTTGTCGTAAAGTTCTAAATTCTGTCACTGCCCAAAACATGAAGCTTTATGGTCATTATTTCCTAATCTTTCTGTGGACAAGATTCTGCTTTTTTTCCTTTTGTTGCACACCAGGAAGTGAATTCCAGTGAGGTTAACTGCCTGCAAGAACCATTTGCTTAAAGATTTACTCCTCTGTTCATACCTCCATTGGCCTTTTTTATAAGAAAATATTAGTTTAGAGAACAAGACTGGAGAGGCTTTTCAGGTTTGCAGTTACTCACATTATGGTTAAAAAAAAAAAAAGCAGCTAATTCTTAATATAAACTAAGAGGGAGATACTGTCCTTGTGCCATCAGTTTGCTTAAAAAAAAAAGGAAGCTTTGGCAAATACCTAAATACTTCAACTTACTACTGGGTTTGATTTTAAAATGCTTTCAAAAATCACCTTTGTTTAAAGGGATTAGTAAAAGGGAAAGCATTATTTTTTGTTTGTTCTGTATGACATGAAAAGAAAGTCCTGAGATTAACACTTGGGGAAAAAATTTACTTTCAGACAAATTGAAACAGACCATCTTTTAAGAGAGCACTCTTTGTTCCACAGCCTCCAAAACTATCACTAAGTAAATTAGAAATAAAGAGAGACTAGAATGCAAAATGAGATGTTTCTAATAAACTGGGAAAGGCAAACTTTAACACTCTAAGGTATGGTCATTAGGGAAACGAAGAAAGAAGTGCATTGTTTCCTAATGAAGTAACAACCAAAGAAAAATCTGTGAAATCCTTCCTTTAAGTGAACAGTTAGATTTGCATAGGGTTGCTTATATGCTGAGAAGTGTTAGGAGGCTTCCACAGCCTGGAGTTCTGCTATGGGCATAGTGCAGTGATGCATTTTCTTTGGCTCTATGGTGATTTTAAGAAGCTCCTGGGCAGCTGCTCTTGTTCCCTGGTGCGGCAGCTTCTCACCTTTTGAGTTGTGCTTGTCCAGTAGTCTGTAGAACCAGGCACTTCATGAATTACATCTTTTTGTCCCACAAAGCTTTTGGTTGTTAACCTAGATCATTTCAGTGAACTGATTTATAGCAGAGCACCTACCCCCGCATCCACCCTGAGTTACAGCGTTGCAGCAGAAGGGAGATCCTGCAGATGCATGGTGGAAACTTCTTAAATTAACTATGTTGAAGGAGAATTGGTTAATATATTACAGTAGGCTTCAATGTAGATTCTGTATAAGGAGGGTAGCGAAGAGCTGGGGTAATCTAAGTAAAGGAAAAACCTAGACTGTATTACTCCTTGACTATTGCTCACTTCTTCAAAGCCTGCATAGTGCCCTGCTTTCTATTTCTGGGTGGGCTTATTAACTCATGTGTGGGGCTTTGGTAACGTGCAGGTCCGGGAGCACCTGAGCTGTATTCCAATGGCAGCTCATTAAAGAAGCCCCCCTGGGATACAAGATAGGGACAGGCCAGGCCTGGCGGTGTTCACTGAGTGCTAGCTAATGAACCTGCCTCCTGCCACATTCAGGGAATGGGGCAGAGAGCAGTGAAGTCAGCTTTGCATGGAGCCACCGTGGTGTCTTTCTGCAGCGTGGTTTATTTGTGACCCTGACAACCTGCCAGTGCTTAAGGTGCGGTTGGGCTGTATGAAAGCTTTGTAAGTACACTGAAAAAGAATTTACCAGAACATGACTTTGGTTAATAAAAGGTTTCTTTTTTTTTTTTACCCCATTTTGGAGGATGTTTGTTTTTAGAATTTGATGGCTGCCTGCGATCTTGTACTTGCAAGTACAAGTCTTTCCTTACAAGTCCCATGGAAGGAAAATTGCTTTGTATATATGAAGCACCTGATAGCAAGCAAACTTAAACTCATGCATGGCTGCACTTAAACCTTTTTCTTTTTTTCTTTTTTTCTTTTTTTTCTTGGACTCGGGACATAAAAAGTCCTGTAGCATCAGAAAATGTGTATTTTAATAATGCAGTTCTACAAGAGGTGAGTTTTAAATTATTAATTTCCCACATGTAGGTATGTAAAGGAAATATGTGGTGTGGGAAGCAAATCACCTAAGATAAACACACTATTATAATTTACATTATAATAGCATTTATAATTGGTGTGTAACATACAGTTCTCCCGACTCTGATATAGGCAGACTAGAATTTACAAATGATAAGGCCTTGTTAATGCCACATGAAGGATTTCTTGTGTCTGCAGTTTACTATAATTGTAGCTATCTTTACAGTACTGATTGTAAATGGGAACTGATTAAAATAAATTACATATCCCTTGAACTCCAGAGTCCCTTGTTTTAATGTGAAGTGTTCGCAAAGTGCTTGTGAAGTGGCCTTCGTTGCCTGAAGGGAAGTCATACTCCACTTTATAATAATGAGAACTCTTACCTTTGTTTTTCACAAAGGACAAACATTTGTGCAGCTTAAGTCAATAGGTTTTTTACTCAGCCAAAAATTAAATACAGAATTTTTAGAAAATTTCTAAAATTTTCCATCCTACCCACAGAGCCTCCTTCCTATGTCTTCAGATTTCTCCTAAAGTTGGCATGGTTAGTGGAAAATAACGGCTTCAGTTTTGTAACACAATCCATTATTCATGTTTCAAGTGTGGAGATAACTAAAAGTAAAGCTTCTTTGCTGTGTTGCTTTTTTCCTGTCTAGGGTCAGGGTGGTTAACCTTTGAGCAGTGCCATTTGGAGGCTTCAGCACTGTGGTCATCATCTACTTTAGCACCAAAACGTGATTCACTGACATAACGTTTATGATTGCAGAAACATTAACCTCCCAAGTACTTCTCTCCTGGCAGCAAGAAATTCCTCCATTGTCATTGCCATGTTCTTTGCCATTTAATGCTGGCTGAGAGAGAGCATCCTGCGTTTTGTCATTCCAAGCAAGGTCATATTTAGCTGGAGAGTTCTGCATACTGGATCAAAAGTGTTGCAATGCATGATGCAGAGTGCGAAATTGGTACAAATTTTTCTCTAGCAATGTAGTTTTTAAAGGAATCTTTGCGCTGGTATGTGCCTTGCTCATTTACAAGTAGCCTCAGTTTTTCAGTAACTTGTAATCTTTTGAAGAGGCAGAAACAATGCTTTCCTTAATTACTCCTTTATTTTTTTTTTAATTCTTTCTGAAGTTTGGAGACCCTAAAACTCCTTCTGTTGCTTCTTGCTACAGTTATTGATGAAACATTTTATATATTACTGTAATGATACTGTTACCTTTTTGATTTAAAATATTTCCTAACAACTACTGATTTTTTTTTAAAGCATCAATAAATTACTGTGAGGATTTTATAATGTGGGACTAGGTAGAACAAGATAATTCCCATGGAAAATGTCAGTCCCATTTACAGAAGAATCAACGGGGGTCCCATTTTGTTGGCATTATCACTTTGTGTTCTAATGTGTTTTCAATTTTATGAATCATAAGTTTAGATCATATTTCATGCAGAGGTGATATGAATTATTGGGCTGTTAAGTTAAGAAGGCTTTTACACAAATATTGGCAGGAGTATGAGGGCAGAAAGGATTGCTGCCAGTTGAGCAGAAGTCGATGCTACTAGGCTGTCCTGTAAATCACCAGGCAGTTTGATGTGCTCCAAGAGCTAGCCCTGTGGTAACAATGTAGAATATAGTGGCCCGTGTCTTTTAAGGTGATCAATAAACTCTCTAACTAAAGGCAAAACTGAGGAATTGCGTGAAACCCCACTGGTTTTGTTGGTATGCAGAATTCATTGTTTTGCTGTTCTTTGTGCTAAAAATCACAGAAGCAGATTATCCTAGGGAAATTAGTGATGCAGTTGTGGGAGTTTAATCTGAGCAGTGCCATCAAAGCTGTGCTTTTTTTAAAAAGTAAAAGAATCAAATACTTATGCTTGGTAGTCCTTTTCTTTGCCTGTTTGTGTTGATCAGTGGCCACGAATAACTAGAATCAGGTTCCTGAGGCTTGGCTCTGTCAAATTGCGTATAGACATGTTGTCTCCTGAGAAAATTCAGTGTAACATTGTTAAAGCAGCACAAGTTTCATGTTCAAATAGAAGCCTGTTTCACATGTCGTCCTTCTGCTCGTGCAGCTTCAAGACATTGAAACAAGTGTTCATGCTTATTTCTTTTTTCCTTTTTCATTTTTTAGTAACTTATCTAAAACTTCTGTTTCTAGGTTGGACTTCCTTCCAATATGATCTATATGTGCTTCCGTTGTTCTAACAAGCTATCACTTCTTCCTCTCCAGTATCTAACAATAAACCTCTGAAAGTGTAGGAAAATTAATTCAACCAACACATTCCTTACTCTGAGTTAACTGTATCAGGTTGGTCCATGAGTTGAGGCTTCAGCTGGAAATGCTAAAGGCCATAGTAGGTGAATATAAAATAAAAAGTCTTAAAAAGCCATTTTTATTTTTCTGAAAACTGCCCTTACTTCAGAAGAGACTATTGAAAGTATTTTTTACATTTTCCATTTGAGATATATTTGCAGTTTTCTTCAGGCAAGGCTTTCATAGCTGGCTAGCAGTGGTGAATTTAAGCAGAGCTCGATTTCATTAACAGCCTTTGATGAGGTCACATTAGTGTTTGCCAGAACTTAATGTAAATTATATACTCAACCATCAAACTGGGCAATATTGCAGCCACTGTAATAATTTAATATAAAGGGGGAGGCTGTCATGGCTCTAGATCCAGCAACTTGTAAGATCTAGTTAACTGGTGTTGAGGGATCCTTCTCACTGCAAAACACTGAATTTATACAGAATTTTTTGTTTCTGAATATATTTAGTATGTTTGGGAGAGGAGAAATCGAGATGAAATAATGGAAGTAGACACAAGAGCTATAAGGGCTAGAAGCTCATGTCAATTATTAAGTCTACCTGTCCTTTGTAATAAGATAGAAATTTGTAAACTTTGAGTGCCTGCAAGGTCTGAGTTTCTATTTTGAGCCAGCGAGCTAGGGACCCAGAAACTGTGGTG